CTGCAGTAAATGTGTTTGAGGTATATATACAGGCGCGTACGCAAGGGGGTATTTTTATTTTTTTTGCTGAAGCGGGGGAATGTGTGCTGAGTAAAAAAAAAAAATCATTGCTCACCCCCCCCCCCCCCCACCCCACTGAGCGAAATATCGGTCGGCGCGATTTTCTATTTTCAAACACTCTCCTTGAAAAAATCGTGCGTTCGCCACTGCTACCCCTTCACAGGTTTTTGAAGTTTTGTTGTATTACAAAATTACATTCTTTAGCATAATTATAGAATAAAATCAAGCAATATACTGCTTTCACACTTCACTTTTACTGCTTTGCCGGTATGTAGTGTGCAGTCCGAAGGGTTGTAAATAGTAAGTAGGCAGGAAGCGACTTTTTAAAAGAGCAAGCTGAATAATAATTTGTTTAGCATTGATCTTTTTCCGTAAACTCTTAATCTTGTAAACATACAGTGTAAACTGTGCTTACGTGTACCAACAGAATACATATATTCTACAATATTTACTTGAAGGATATTATGCGAGGGAGCGCAGCGACCGAGCGAGAAGATTTTTTACATTTTTTTTTTAGTCTAAACGCTGCACTCTTGGGCACTCCAGAACATTAAAAGTGTGTTGCAGTCTTTAGTCAGTATTTGCTATACAATTTTTTGTGTGCACTTTTTCAAATTTTCTGAGGGGGTGTTCCTCTCTACGAAAAATTGAGGGGGACGTGTCTCACGCCCCCTCCCTCCCCCCCCCCCCCCCCCTCTGTGATCGCCGCCCCTGACTCGCACATTTCACGTCCAATTGCAGAACGCCCTAGCTCTGTCCAAGGGAATAGATCCTCGGAAGGTGGGGCATCTCGCAAAAGACATAAGGATATATGTGCACAACATCCTCATCGCGAGCGTGCAGTTTGTGACATGCTGTCGTGTGAAAAAACTCCATGGGTGCATTGTGACGTGTGTGGACGTTGGCTCCACCTACTTTGTGTTTTGCTCAAAAAGTATCCACAAAAAAGGACTATGTATGCCCTATTTGTGAAGCGACATATCAGTAAACCTCAATTTTAGGCCACAGTCCATGGGCCAGTACCCAAATGTTTACATTTCGGTCTCTTCTCTAAATTGCCCCCCCCCCCCTCTCCCCAAAGAAAAAGTATTTTCAAATTCTTACATGTATGCACAATATATATTAAATTCAATTCTGATCAATTCAATTTTTTTTTATTCATCAAAATTCACAAGAGTACATGGAGAAAACAATTTGGTCACACATTGTACAAACACGAAATATATATTTGACAAACTATATCGTTGTGTTTATAAAACATAGACAAGATAGAAATATTCATATATTCTAGTATTATACATTGAAAATGATGAAGGATAGAACATCAGTGTAAAGGACTGAAGAAAGGAGGGAAGGAAAACCACACCAAGCGGATACTTCGGCCCAAATGCTCTTCGCTCCATTTGATTGTACACATTTCATTTGATTGTTCCGCGCCTCCACCTCCCTTCACCCGTTCCCTAGGGAGCTCGCTTCGCGCGCTCTGTAAAGGCCCGGTCACACAGAGGGACGCATGGGGAACGCACGGCCAGCGCATTGGAAATTTGCAATTTTGGCCAGTATGTTGTCGTGCGCCCAACTTTTGTCGAAGCTACAGCGAGCTGACACCAAATGCATAGCGTGTTGCTAGCGCGCTGAGCGCATACAGGGCACATACAGTGCGCATACAGACCGTACACAGAGCGCACATGATAACAACTTCCACGAATGCACAGCGTGTTGCTAGCGCGCTGGACGAATGGTCCACGCATGCACCGCGTTCTCAACAGAGGTGGTCACACATAGACGACGCACGGCCCGCGCATTGGAAATCGGAAAAGGCCGTGTGCCTAACTTTTGTCATCATTTTGGAAAATCTAGCGAGCTGACACAAAATGCTCAGCGTGTAGCTAGCGCGCTGTGCGTATACAGGGCGAGTGCTCCGCGTATGTCTGGCGCTGGTCTAGCGCGCTCCACGCATGTCTGGCGTGCCTTTGGCGTGTACATTCATGCGTCGAGCTCCGCGCACACTTTTGAGCATGCTCAAAAAATCTCGACGCACACAGCAAATGACGACGAATGCATAGCGTGGGTCCAGTGCGCTCGACGAACGAGTAACGAATGATGACGCACGCCTAGCGAACGACAACGCACTGGCCAAAATTGCAAATTTCCAATGCGCTGGCCGTGCGTCCCCAATGCGTCCCCAATGCGTCCCCTCTGAATGACCGGGCTTTAAGTGATTGCTACCGCCCTCTAAAATAAAATCCTAGCTACGCGCCTGCTTGCCCTTTAACTCTTTGAGTCCTGTCCGCAAGAAATTCTTTATCCACAAAATTAAAGAAGATGGTACGTTCATCCTAAGTAACTTTTGCAAGAGAATATGGGTCTGCATAGTATTACATGCGTATGACAAATCTGCGAACATGACCCTTGGATAGCATCCAAGTTTGGTCTGTTGTGCGATTTGTTGAATCAGTGTTATGACGGCGTCATTAAAGGACTTCTTAGGTTGATATGCGAATTAAAGTTTGCCGAGAAGATGGAATACTGATGGGGAGAGAAACTGCATCAGGAGTCTCTCAAAACACGCGATTGGTCGATAATCATTCAGCTTTAATAATAGACGCATGGTTTGTTTTCGGTACAGGAATCACAATCGCCGATTTCCAGGTGGCGGGAGACTTGGATTCATTCAAAGACTTACGAAAATGGTGTTTTCACATTGACATCCTTTAAATTTATATATATATATCGAATACTTTAAAAGACAACCGTACAACTAAAAGTGTAGGCAGGGGCGGCCGAGCGACTTCCAAAGTGGGGGGGGGGGGGGCACCAACAAAAAGGGCACTTTCTGGAAATAAGGGCACCTACAGTGGGAAATCTCAAAGCGAAAATATACAATTTTTTAGACATTGGTATATACCCCTACATTGTGATTACATTATCAGGGATGATTTCAATATTTTTTTCTCTTCATACATCATACAAGATATCGCTTAAGCATCATACTTTACAGCTGGGTGTGATGTCTGAATATGCATTTACGAGCGAGCGAAGCGAGCGATAAAATTTTAAAGATCTGTGAGGTCGCAGTGCGAAAAATTACACCTTATAAAGAGGAAAAAGCCAATCGTGATGGGGTTATAAGCACATTCTCATAACGGAAGACTGAAAAGACCTTTAATAAGTAACATAATTATATCATCTTTAAATGCGAACGAGCGCAGCGATTGAATTTTTGGGGAAATTGCTCTTAGTCGCTTTAAATAAGGGGCACGTTTAATGATTACATGAAAAGGGGACAATTATCGAAAGGGATAATACACTTATTAGAAAAGAAAAGGAGTACGTGTCAAAGTATAAAGGATAATTATAAGAGGTGAAAATGAGGCATATTTTCACCTGAAAAGAGGCACTCACAAGTGATGAAAAAGAGGCGTTTACGAAAATGGGAAATAGGCATTTGTTGACGGAAAAGGGGCACCCATCATATTTTGATAGGGGCATTTATAAGAGGTGAAAATGGGAAAGGTCCCTTATTAGAAAAGAAAAGGGGCATGTATCATTATTAAAAGGGGAATTATCAGAGTTGAAAAGGGGCACTGACCAGATATGAAAAGGGTCACTTATGAAAATGTAAAAGGGGCACTTATAATAAAGGAAAATGTGCATTTGTTGAATAAAAAGGGGGCACCGTTCAGATTTTTAAAAGGGGCAGTTATGACAAGGGGAAGGAGCTCTTTCTTTTTAATAGGGGGAACTTATCATAAGGAAAAGGGGCACTTATTAGAAAGGGAAAGGGGTCAGGCGCGTACGCAGGGGGGGGGGGGGGTGTTTGGGGGTTAACCCCCCCCCTTTGGTATTTTTTGTGTATAAACCCCCCTAAAAAAAACCGAACCCCCCCTTTGTTTGTTCGTTTTTTTTTTTTTTTTAATAATAATTTAAAAAAAATTATTCCCATGGCTGACCTAAAAAAGGCGACCTTACCCCCCCCCCCCCCCCCAACGGAGCAAAATGTCAAATTTTCAAATTTCGAGACCAAAAAAAAAAAAAAAAAGTGTCCTCTTACTAAATTGGGTTACAATGTATATTCATTGTTAGTGAAATTGTAATACAATATACAATGGGCAAATAATTGTTTCCAGACCAATGATTTAGGTGAGAAGAACTTACATTCACTATTGAAGCTGTTGCCGTTGTATATACATGAACTTGAAATAATAAGTAGCCTTGAAAGTGTCGTCATATATCATGTTTGGGTGAGGTTGAAGTTTAACGGTGTAGGTTTGTTTGAGACTATATATCCTTTACACTGTTTTATTAATGAGATATATTTCCAATCAAATCAAACTGAAAGATATTTTCGAAAAACTTAACAATATCAATCTGGATTGATATTGTTAAGTTGTTCGATAATATCATTCGGGAAACAATGGTGAGTAACCAGTGGTATGAACGGCCTTCCATAGTTCAAGTCCAACTTAAGTCGATCTTAGTCTTTGTGAAACACTACCCAGGTTTAATTTCAAATTTTTGGGCAAGGGGTTTAAATGGAAACAAATCTCCCAGCCCCACTTTCCCGGTTTCCCACCCGAAGCTGCTAAACAATATGTATACGTACTTTAGAAGACTATTAGCTATTGATTTCATATTCATTTTTTTGTATATCAATAGTCATTCATTGTTTTACTCTTGATACTAAATTTACTCAGAAATATTTGTTTATCATAATGTATATCGCTGTAGAACATGTATTTCAATTCATGTCATGTTTATATATATATATATATATATATATATATATATATAGGTTATATTGAAATTGTCATTGTACATTGATAAATATGTTGTTTCAATGGTTTCAATGGTTTCAATGGTCGCGAATAAATACATTTAATTCAACTCCATTCAATTTAACCTTGGAGCTTTTTTAGCACATTACTACCTTTTAGAACTATGTAGCTGTTATTATACACTGTATCATAAGGAAAAGTGCTTTGTAGATCCATATATCATTAGTTCACGTGGTCGCCATTTTGTAAACCACTCCCTGTAATCGTTAATCATTGAGGTTCATGCTATTTGCTCCTTCCACCATCTCCTGAAACTCTGGTTCTACGTCACTAGGCTCTAATAGCTCCAGCCAATAGGAGAGCTTCTTTGATTTAGTCCAGCTGTGACTGTTGTCAAATCGTGCAACGTCTGTTAGAAAGAAGAATAGGATACTGAAAATTCACATGATGGCAGTCACCTGATATTTTCAACGAGTTTTACCACGTGACGTGAAGAAAGCATACTAGTGCCTACTGCCTGTTGCCCCTGTTGCACATGGAGCTTCATTATTTTTGACTGTTTTCAATCCAGAGACCGGGGTAATTATACGATGTGGATTGTTTTGGTCAATTATTTAACTGGAAAAGCTAAAACAGTTCTTATTAACGGTTGAAACCAAATGAAAGCATTTAGTGCATGTTCACTCGTAATTCGAAGCGATGTCGACATTGTTCATTCAGTGTTTATTCGTTGTACAACATTAATCTTACATGAGGTGTCAACAAACATCATTAGCCGATGATGAGTGCTAAGTCAGACAAAGTACACATCGTTTACAACGGGCTTACGTCATGCCGATCACCAGATATACGTTTTAACATATGATAAAAGCACCCAAAAATATGACACGTTTTTTTTTTCGTCTTTCTCTTTTTGCTCGATTTTTGTTTAAAATTGTGCCCCATCCCCACCCCAGAATCGTTCGTCCACTATTAAGAAATATTATTTCCATAAAACGTGTTATCTGATAAGTAATCCAAATATGTCCTACTAAAATTCTAAACATTAGTTTTCGACAACAATTTCAGTAAATCCTACTTACATGTGCCAGGTTCAGCGATCATGATTTCTCCGTTCTCAGGTACCATGTGACTGTTGTACTTCTCCAGTTTCAAAATGGCAGTCTTCTTACCCTTCGCGTCCACGAGATCAAACCCAAATTTGATGTCACTGCAATCCGTCTGAAACTCATACCTATAACATTGATGATACGTTGAAATTAGAAGAAGTTTTATGTATCACTGGCCGATTTGTAAAAGGGGGCACAATAGTATAGAATAAGCTCACTTTTTGCATTTTGCTTATCAAAAATGTTCCTAAGTTTGGAGGAATAATTGTATTCTCAAAGCATCTGGGTTGCATACTTGTACCTGTGTTACGCAGCCAAATCGACTCCACACCGACAGATTATTGGTTCTTGGGGGCAATGTAATAAATTGCTAATTTGGTCTGATGACGGTCTTGTATCGTTTTCTTAATTGTGATTAGTGTATATGAGTGTAATGAACTATCAAAACTCATAGGTTTGTACCTCATGACGCTGTTGGCGTTCTTGACTTCATACTTGAATTCGATGACTCCCCCTCTTGACACTTCATGCGTTGTCAGTGTATGCGGCGGTTCACGGTCCTTTAGGTAGAATGACTTGGGAATTTTGCCACCCACTCTTATCTACACGAAAGAATAATAAGAGCTTCGATGTTGAATATGAAGCATAAAGGCCACATAATTACAGACAATATTAACTATTCATAACATTTTACTAAGAAAATGGGAGACAAAAATACCGTTATCAGTTGCTCGATTCAAAACCATGAGAATGATTTTATAACTTCTGAAGCAGGAAATATGAGTAACGTATTGACTGTATATAGGTAGAGTAACATAACATGTTCGAAATGAAAATCACGACAATTCAAATCAATCCCATTTAGATAGTTGAATGAATACGCCCTCTGTTATTAGATCGTATATCGTGTACATGCAAAGTTGATTATAAATCATCGGGAAAAATGGATTCCTGTATCAATTCGCACATGAAACATTAATTGAGAGCTATAAACATAAATAGTCGTGTACAGGTCGTACACTTAGGTACTGTAAAAATATGCTTTTTATATTAAAGCAAAGTAGAGAAAATTTGTATAGTAGCTGCGCTATATGAATGGACATATTATTATTATTTATTATTAAAAGATTATTTTGAATCACCAGTGAAGTACACATCTCGTTTCCATCAGGATCTGTCTTGGTTCCTCCCCAGTAAACCGGTAGCTGATCGGGGTCTATTTGCTTCAACAAAACCTCCTTCCAATTACCTAGAAATTAAGCAGAAAACCATACTTATGTTACCCCTTTTTTCCTACTGGTCGTAGCAAATTGAGCACTACGCTATACCTTCACAAAATCGATCTTCGCCTGTCACAGTTTATGAAAGATATACACACTCCATTCTTACATTTTCATCTTATTCTACACCGTATTTTTGTAAACTAAGATTAAACACAATTCAGATTAAAAATTCAAAGCTGAGATTCTTACTTCCCAAAACCTGGATTTTCTTTCTGGTGTCCTCACGAAGGAAAGGCTTGACTAATGAATAGGTCACCGGGAAGATCTTGGGTGCTCGGATGATGAAGAGACGGTAGATCAACTCTGGATAATGCTGCTCAGCAATCACAGCAGTCTGTCATAGTTAGGAAAATAGTTCATTATATAACTTTTTTCTTCTTCAACATTTCTAGTTCTGTGTAAGCATGATTTAACGAGACAGGACAGTTTAACTTAGGTATTGGAGGCATTAAGCAATTGGATCCTGTAGCAAGTGGGAGTAGATCAGAAGCATATATATTGGCAAAATATCATATATAGGGAAAAGGAAGACAAATAAGCACAATTGTCATTTGGAGGGGTGGGGTTCGAGGTGTCATGGAGTCCTCCCTCCTTTTTCCTCTCTCTTTCTCTGTTTTCATTTTTCCCTCCCTTAATTTTTCGCCATTTGATAGTGTCCCTAGTAGCTACGCCATTCCTATCAATGTGGGGGTAGACAACTGAGGATCAAAGCTTACCAAAGTGCACTACATGTGCACAGACTTGGTTTTGGAAGCACACATTGGTTTTTATCGTTAATCATCCCACCATGTCATGAACGTAGAAATATGCAATATAATTATGAAAACATATTATCAATAACAATTCATTCAGCAGACATGTTATTAACCAGGACACAATTTTTTATGGTAAAAGATGGTAACATTTGAATGCTTGCCTTGATGAACATATCAATAGCCGGTTTCCATAGATGATGTACTCCAAGGTTCTCCATGTCAAAGATCATCAAAGATCCCTCAGTATGCTTCAATCCTCTCTGAGATAATACAAACATGTTGGTAGTCAAGGGGACACGAATACACACACCATTTTAGATGAAGCTAACCTATAATCATAGTCACATTTGGATAACACTTAATACGACGTTTCAAAGCACTTTACAAGTGATCTTAATTATCATTACCTATGTTAATATAATCTCTGTAATTAAACAGTTATTAAAATGCAATGCTTGGACTATTCTTTTCGCATTTGACTTTATACGATGCCTCCCTCAGTCATTGACACAGTCTTGCGTTAATAAATGACGCCTTGTTTATACAACGGGCACAAGGGGTGATTATAGGGACTTTTAGATTTGCACGTAGACAGCTTTGACTGCAACGTGTGACGTCATTTTAAGGCACTGCGCATGCGTCACGTCGTCTCGGTCGGCGATCGAGAATGCCTCAACCTTGATTTTCCTAAATCTAGTACGGTACTAGTATGCTGCGTGCGCATAAAATATACAATTTCTCAGATAGACAAAGGAACATCCCTGCTATTATGTAAAAATGTGTAGAACAGGTGTCACATGCATATTCACCTGTTCTACACATTTTTACATAATATTAGTGAAGGGATGTTCTTTTGTCTACCACAGCAATTGTTGAGGGTAGAATGAGGAACTGTATATTTTATCCTCTTTCTTTGTCCTTCATGTCCATAGTGTTATTTCTTGCATGCATGTATATCGTCGAGTGCAATCTAATAGGCCAGTTTCGTAATGTAACCAAATTTAATGCATACGTCTTTGTGAAGTGCCTCAATACAAATTGTTGCATTCACCTGATAGGAATAATAGTATTTCAATAGTCAGAATGCAACTGCATATATTAAGTGTTGCTAGGTAGGTCAAGTCATAATGTTTGTCCAACCTGGCAACACTAATGTATGCAGTTCGGATTCTGTCTAGTGAAATACTATTATTCTTATCAGGTGAATAAAATAATTTGAATTGAGGCACTTTACAAAGACGTATGCAGCAAATTTGGTTACATTACGAAAATGGTATAATGTAGTCAACCTGGGCAGTTGAGTACGTTGACACGCATGATCAGTCGGCGTTCATCGTGTTCTCGTCCACTCAATCTAAAAGTCCCTATTAGGAGTAGATCTCATACCTGTTCAGAGAACCACTTGTGACTCCTGAACTGGTATTCAATTGAATGGATGTAAGTCTTCAGAATGTCACTGGCCTTCGCCGAAAATAAGACCCCTTGAATAAAAAATTATTTAAAATATGGAAAGATATAATAAACAATAATAATAATACAATATTTATATAGCGCATAATAAACATACGTTTCTCTATGCGCTGTACAAGGAATCAATACAGAGAAAAAATGATGATATCTTTCCTTAATTCCACATGATTTTTGTATTAATCGAAATGTAAGTATAGATTCTAAAATATATGTAGGCACTGACAGCGAAAAAATAAATATAAAAGAACGAAACGTTGCTGTAAATTACACACACCCACGCACACACACACACACACACATACATGCACAAACGTGCACGCACGCGCGCACACACATACACATACCCACGAAACAAGAAGCATACGAAAAATAAGACTCATCCACTCGGTCAGAATACTAGCTAAAATTCTTTCCTAGTTGTGCTCATTCCTCAGCTGTTCCTCAGCTGAGTTTAATTGTTTGGCAGGAATCAGTTAATTGTAGATTCTTAAACATTCAAGTCAATTTTGATTGATTCATGAAAGAAATATTGATAATTATCAAAATTCAAAATCAAATTTATCTCAATGAATACCTTTAGGATCAAAGTTTCCAACCGGTGATATGTAGATAGCATGACCCTCTTTATCCAATCCACACACTCCGCCGCACCAGTACTTCTCGAAAACCTGAAATGTAAAGTATTATGTCAATATTATGCAAATATCGATCAAATCTATTGCCTATTGTATCTGATTGTTGAAGAGGAATGTCCATAATGGTAAATACCATGTTTCAATATAATCTAAAAGTGTGGGGAAAACCAGATGAGTGATATTTTGAGGAAATTCCATCCAAGAAAGTTATGAAATCCGATAAATTAAACAATCAAGGAAACACTTTCCTCGTTAAAACAAATGTGTATTAACAGGGCACACCCCTACCCTTACCATCGGATAGCCAAAAAGGGTAGGGAAGATTTTTTTTTTTTTTTTTTAAAGGCAATTTCCTGAATTTTTTTTTCAGTGCAGTACGAGAAAATACTTTTCAAAGCAAGATGCCTAGATGTTACTGTCTTCCCAACTCTCACTCTGTAATTCTCAAGATGAAAAATCTTCTCCATTGAACAAAAAACTAATGTTTAAATATAAGCAATAGGGTTTTGTTAAGAGATATCCAAATTGCATCCATCTTTTGCTTTGATAAAAATGGTCCCTGATAACAAATGTTGTACGATTTTGATTTGACTTCCTTAAGAATATACGCAAACCTAAGAAAATATAATAATAATAATAATAATAATAACGTTTTATTTACCCGGGGTAGCCACTTCAATTATGAAACTGCTCTTCCAGCGGGCCCTGCATAACATAATATGTTATTATTACCCTTCTCCAATCTAATATGCTGAGCGCCTAGCTAAAGGGCAGAAGGTCCCATTGTTATACGTCTTTGGTATGACTCGGCCGAGGTTCGAACCCACGACCTCCCGTTCATGAGGCGGGCGCTCTAACCACTGAGCCACCATGCCCGGTATAGAAGTTAGAAGACCTTATTAACGCTTTATGGCAAGATATTAATCTAAATGTACCATACTCCACTCAGGTGGAGTAAATGGGTACCTGGTTGGATGATTGCAGGGCCCTCAGGGAGACATATTATTATTTTGGTAATTATTGATATTAGTATTATTATTATTATTATTATTATTATCATTATTATTAATATTATTACCTCTGGGATCTTGTACCAATCAAGAATGGTGCTGACCTTATTTTCCTCTCTCCACTTGATATCCTAAAACAAAAAAAGAAATTGAAAAGCTAAACGAAAATGACGTAACAGGTTTGCATTTCCTATGTGCAAAATTATATAGTATTAAACAAAGGTTAACTGTTTGCAAGCAAAAACAAAAACAAACAAACTACAAATAAGTTTTTTTGTTTTGCGAGTTACTGGCTCATAAAGCATTAGTTTAAGTTTGTACTCTGACAACTAGACATATTTAAATGGGAATGACAAAGATGAATAAAGAAAATATTCATGTTTTAATGTAAATGAACATTATTTTACATAATTTTGTATAGTACTAACTTACCATCCTTAACATCTTCTCTGTCCTTTTCAGGTCAAATTTTCTTGCTGTTAGGGAGTAAAACATAGAGTTGATCATTTTGGTGCTGCGAAGAGTAACTGGAGCGAATTCCCCCCTAAGTTTTTACATTTTGATTTTGTTTTGTAAGGGTAAAGGCATTGCACTTTCTTCTCAACAATGTTTGTTCGATCATGGGCTAGATGAGACTAGATAGCCCGGCCGCCTTGTTTTTAAACGGGGGGGGGGGGGGGGGGGGGGGGGTTGGGGTTGGACGGGTTTCTGGGAACTATACCCGCCGGCTTTTAGACTGATCAACTTTTTGCGAAGGAAATAGATGGTCTAGGTAAGTGTTAGGGATCTAAATTGTACATGCTTAGGGAACACCTTCGGGATATACTCTTGGCCTATATGCTTGATACGACATCATCGGAATTTAGAGAGAGGAAGATAAGGGAGGGCGGGTGACAGGGGGGGGGGTCGAGCATCAATCTACCTTAATGATGGGAGATGCAAATGCATGAATAATTGTGTAACGCTCCATACAACAGACACATAGTATATTCCAATATAATTTAAAATGTTTACGGAGGCACACATACTAATCCTCTACTCTGTTGCACTTCAATATGGTTTTCTTATTTCTTATTATTTTAGCACGATGGCATACTATAGCCAAAGGCTGTTCTTTGGCATGGCATTTTGCAAAGAAACATACATTATAAATTAACATGGTTTACATACAAAGTTAAATCAAACATACACATACATACAAATAGGTTAGAAGGCGATACATCCAAGCAAGCCCTTATTTACAAAAAGGAAAAGAAAAGAAAAAATAAAGACAAACAAATCAGTATATATTAAATAATATTATTTTCACAGCCTTTTTTCCACCAGCAATTTCCCGACCTGTATATAAAAGATGATTTGCTTGTACGTTAATTACTATAATTGATCTTGACTTCTTAATGTCAATGGGTGGAGGGGGTGGGGGCACACTTTGCACCCCGCCTTCATGTTTACATGCTTTAGGGGAAGGGGCGGGGCAATATACTTACCCCTAAGGAACTTCAAGAGTAAGACATCGTCATGCTCTGGCTTAAGAACGTCTGAAACATTTTCCTTGAACTGAGTGAAAAGAAATATGACAAGGAAATTAAGCTACCGCATTGTTCGTGACAATTTCAAACATTTAACTCATCTTATCAATACAACACAACATTTGATTCTGGGATTCGATTGTTTGTCTTAACAAACTGAACTTTTCATTACAGGACATTGTTTTCTCGTTGTTTAAATATCATAATTTCGACACTGAATCATTTCAACAGTAAGATGGCGAGTTGGCTCAGTCGGTAAAGCATCTGCCTGTCGAACAAAAGATCGAGGGTTCGAATCCATACCAGGCGGACGCATGAAGCCTGCGCTGTGTGTTAACGTGCCTCTCTCCTGTTTTGTGGACGCAGGTTATGTTAAGTGGAAAACACTCTGTCCCTCGTATAGGACGTTAAATGAAAACCCCGTGTACAAGAGAGTCACCACCTTTGTACGTAAAAGAACACACTGCACTATTCGTTTAAGACTAGGGGCAAACCCCGTTTTAGTGGTCCACCTGCACCCTCAATCAGTTATACCTGGAGGAGAGACCTAAGGGTTACACCAATTCGCTTTTCGCCTCTCAGACACAAGTGACGCCAATACTTAATAATAATATTAGTAAACCCAATAAAAATCGTAGTTGAGATGAAAATATCAATGCCCCATAAATAACATTTTATGTTATACGCAGCATCAATTTGATGCAACAAGATGTTAGACCTGTTTGGTCGAAGCTCGTATTGTTTTCTCTGTTTTAAAAAGAATAATGTATAAGTATTTTAGCATCAATAGACTTAGAATTTGAATTTGAAACCATAAATGCACTCTAAGTGGACCTTTAACCGAACGAAAGTGTACTAATGTGATGATAATAACAAGGCATGTTTATGATACAGTGTGATGAAAAAAAGGATTCTTTACCTTTCTCAATTTCTCTTTCTGGCTATCTGAAAGGTTCCCCGGGAAGCCGCTCATATTGACCTTGAAAATAGCAACACTCCGTAGGCCTAAAGAAAGCTTTGACGACTAGATTCACTTCCTTCAAATCCTCTTCTCATGTATACACTTTGTATTTGCATTTATACGCTGGGATCACAGACAGCTTACCATTTTAAATGCATTGATCATCAATGTTTCTACCACCAACTTTTCACAAAACTCTCAACTATACAGGATCGAAAAATATGGAAGCAAAGAGAGGCGAGAACAGGTCCTTTTTGGAGGTGTGTTGCGATGCACTTCTTATCATAACAGATCATTAACATCTTACAATCTGGTGCTCCTGTACTCTAGGTCTTCATATATATTTACCATAACGTCAGATTACGCCAACTCGTATCTGTAATTATCGTACGCCAGATGTAGTTATAACTGATGGAGGAGGTCAAAGTCCATCACAGAGGACTGCCGTTCACACCTAACATATCGAAGGGAGGAAAATAAGCAACAAAGTTCAAAACAAGTGGGGTGAAAGATTTCAACCTTGGAGATATCGGAATGATTGGTGTCTTGCAGGGGCGTAGCCAGTTTATTTTGGAAAGGGAAAAGTTCCAGATCAAATTTGCTACATTTCTAACATCATCCAGCATGTACAAATAGAACATTTTTTTTAAAAATACATACATAAAGAAATTACTGACAAGGCTCTAAGGATGTCCAGAAAAAGGGGATGCACATCCCTCATTCGCCCCTTCATCCTTTACCCCTCCATAACAGAGAAACCTCTGGGGTTCTATGATTTACTCTGATGCCATGCATATCGTTCTTGATATCATCCCCCTTATATTATTTTGTTTTGTTGATATCCTCTAAAAAAAGGTGTATGAGGTTACTGACCAAGGGTATAGGTTTGTTGTACTTCATCGAGTTACACATAGAAACAGCTGTACAATACAAGTATAGTGGCGCAACTAATGGGGTACGTGGATTCATCCTCCCTCCTCCCCCTTGCATGGCGATTTTTTTTTTTAAACGAGAAAGAGGAAAAAGATAGAGAAGAAGGAAGAGGAGAGAGGGAAAGAAACGTCAATAAGGAAATGATAGGACCCCTACAACTCCCTCCCCTATGCTGTGGCCTTGTCCATTTGTCTGTCATCCACCTAGTTATATGACCAAGGTCCTTCTGACGTTGGTATTAATATGTCCAACTAAGCTTTTTCACTATTCATTAACCGAATTGTCCATTAATTATTTTTTTCTTCAATGTTTCAATCATGTTCATCCGTTACCTACCCCTGGACACGTCACTAGTGTACTCACTTTAACTCAGGGGCGTATCCAGGAATTTGTAAAGAAGGAGGAAGGAGGATACATTCCAGATAAATCTACCAAGCAAAGCATATACAAATAGGGTATTAGTCTCCTTATGCATGGTTTCCTCAAGTTTCAAAATGTGTTTTCCCTTTTTTGTCGTGAAGTTTTTAAAATTCTATTGTGCATACCCCAAATTTGTATTGCTTTTTTTGTGTGTGGTTGTATGTTTTTTTTAACTTGAATTAATCTATATATACACGGTAATATCAACACAGTGACAAGACTGAATTCCGTTGGGGCCGTGTCAAACATAAACAAAATTGATAAATTGAAAAAATTAAAAATAAAATACTGATATACTAATAAATGTGCATGTAGTTAGAAGAAAAGAAAATGAAAAGTGATGGTTTAAACATTAATATAATTAACAAATCTTAGAACAAACAACAAAACACAGAACTTTATTACGAAAACATAACATATCGCTTAATGTTTACACTCGAACCAAATAGTACAGTAACATCATTTAAAGGCCAAGTCCACTCCAGAATTAATTTGCTTTAAATATATGCAACAAAACAAGGAAAACAGAGCAATTATAAATGAGTAAAATCGGATACTAATAAGGAAGTTATGATGTTTTGAAAAAAGTATGAAAAACTATGGAACAATGGAAACCACTACACAAATTGCCAATTTGGTTGTCAGTTTGTGACATCATTGCCTCACTATTTATCAATTGCTTTATATATTTTTATCGCATTAATTTCCCTTTTTATCCCCCAAACTTGATTTCCCCATGCATTTGTACGATTATATGTATTGTATCATATTGCGTGCATAACATTTCACAAAATATTTTATGAAACTTTGCAGAATCGATACTATTTTTGGAATATTGTAAATTCATAATACCATTCATTTGTATATAACAAGTTTATCAAAATTCACAATTTTCATGATTTAACTGGGGGAAAAACTGCTATATTAGTGCATCCACACACAACTTGGCTGCTTGTGTGAGGAAATAAGATTCTTAGGGGGAAAATAGGAAATTTATATTATCAATATACAAACAAAAACAATTAGTGGATAGTGAGGCATTGATGTCACAGACTCATGAGCGAGTTGCCATTTTTTGTGATTTTCAAAGTTTTTCATGTCATAAAAAATTCATAATTTTCTTATTAGTCATCCGATTTTGCTCAAACTTTTTTTGATTGGTTTGTCTGATTGTTCTGCTTCTATTGAAAGTAAGTTATTTTTGGAGTGGACTTGCCCTTTAAATATACTATGTTCCTTTTGCAGCCAACATCAAATTTTGTAGAACTTTGCAGGAATTATGAATATTTCATATATATTCTGTTTGTGAAATTTAAACATTAGCAGTGTCCAAGTATTCAAATTATGCAAGGAAACCCATTTACCTTCTAGACTTCACTGTCAGACACTATTGAGTGACTGACTGACATGTTCTTTCTTTGATAATAACATTCATAGAATGAGCTGTAACAGAAACACGAGCATTTATCTACATAAATAACCCACTACTTGTAGAGGCTAAAATTAAACGGATTGAATCTTCGTGCAGCACAAAACGTACGACCATTCGGTAAAAGGGTATGCAAATCAGACTATTACTTAGGTGATTGCAATCACGTATTAAAGTGAGGGAGGTTCTAAATTAGTACTGTCTTTGAAATGCTATTGGAATTTAACCTTTCCAGTCTGTTTGCCCTGCAAATGGGACAAACATTTGTAGTACCTTTAAAGTGACTCGGTAACATTGTTGAAGGTTGATGGAAAAATTGCATATATTTTGTTTAAAATGTTACTTATTATATTCCTATTATATTATATTACTGTACTAACCCTCTGAAATGCAAAACATCCGGGAAAAATGCTCAAACCACAAAGATATCTATATTTTTATTTAAAGGCGTCACTGTGCAACACCCTTTAACAGTGATTAACAGTAAATTCTCCCAACCATTTTTTGAAATTTCCCAACCGTTTTCCCATGAAAAAAAAAGACATAAAACAGGCTATTAAAAATCTTTCAACAGTTTCATGTCTGGAATGGTATATAGAGCCAACTCATTGCTTTATGATGATTAAAATTCACCTAAAATGTAATTAAATTGTATTGGGATAATCAAAGAATCGATCGGATCAGTTTTTCCCAATTTGTAGCATTAATAATGGTCCATTTTCACTCACATTTTCATACATTTTTGTACATCTAGCATTGAAGTTAAAACCTATATAGCACCACTTTCTCTTACCTAAACAATATTACCAAGTCCCTTTAAGACAGGATAATGGCCAGCGAAAGTAAGGGCATATATTGCAACTTGAAAATTGCTTATAAAAACCAAATAAAAGCCAGGAATAATAGCCACCAACCGTAAAGTAACAGTCTCTTGAAATAAGGAGATACATAAGCAATGAATCAATTCGATTTAATCCGTTTTTACTCCTTAAGCATTGCCACTTTCTTATCTATCACCGGCTGCCCCATTGAAGTTGTTTTTACTGTTATTTTTGTTCACTGATCGCGTGATATAATTAACAAGCTGATCACATGTCTAAACCGACGCTTCATTTTATTTTGCATCTCGCGGTGTTTCACAATCTCGACTATTGTCTCATTCGTAAAGTAATACCTGAACGTAAAGCATCTTTGACTCAGCACATGATGCTTTTAGAGATTTCATTCCTGAAATAATATACACCAAGATGAGGGAAGAGGAACAATGTTGATCAGTTCATCAAGAAAAGCGGAATTAAACGACATTTGACGTGCTGAAAGGTCGGTTTGATGGGAACAATCTTGAAACAAGTCTGCTGATGAAGGATCTAATATTAAAGCAAGTCTACAAATGAACGAAAAGAACACAGGGACAGTCAAGAGCACAGTGGTGGGAACTACTGGCTTTTCATAACCTGCGGATATCTCTCTGATGTAGTCCAGGACTTGGCCTATTGACCTTCTTGGGAAGCGAAGAAAGACCATCCAGTCAACTCTTGGATCAGCTTGGTTGGCCAAAGGTTGAAATGGTGCTCACTCCAACTGTAATACATCAAGTGGTAATATTATAGGTATGTGATGCAAATATACTTTCTTAGCAGTCAACTAAAACAAAGAAACGCATTTTGAGAAGACATCAAACACGGTTTCTACAGCAGCCTCAAAGACTTCATCGTTCTAACGTGGATATTTCTCTTTACGATAGACCTGGGCTTCGTTTTAAGAACAAAAAGGCTGATTCATCGTAATCATCCTTAGGGACCGAGTACTACTTCGATTTTCTTTCAGTTTTCTGGCATCAATTCAGTATCAGCGACCTGTTAGTTGGAACACATGATGGCTGTGTACGCTCACACATTAAGCTTCGTAGTGCTGTGTGGATTCACTTTGCTATATGTAGTGATGGATCACACCAGCATAACTCTTAAACATACGTGCTCGGAAAACTCGAGTGACCATAGCGCCAATTGCTCATATCGCGGTCTTACATCGGTTCCCCGGAATCTTCCAAATAACTTGCATTTCCTCAACGTTTCTGAAAATAACATCTCTGTGCTCCTAGACAAATCTTTCGTGAACTATACACAGCTAAAAACCTTGGACGCTAGTTATAACTCCATCTACCTCATTGAGAATAAAACATTTCATGCTCTCCAGCTACTTAAGGTATTAATACTCCATCACAACAGTATCAGTGTCCTACCCATTTCCCTCCTGGAGAAGAATGTTCATCTTTCCTTGCTAATCCTACATCATAATATACTCAAGGAAATTCCTCGCATCTTTGGAAACAATCTGCAAACTACTCAGTTTGCAGAAGATTGGGAGGACGCATGTGGATGTAAGAATTTGTCACGTTTTGATTTGTCTTCTAATAAAGTCAGATCACTAGTACAAGAAGATTTTGTAGCTTTACGTAATTGCTCCCTCGATGGATTCAACTT